TATATATTAACATGCTATTCTGAAAATAGATTGTAGTGATTACGAAGATAACCTTTGTTCACTATAATATTCCTTAACGGTTAGATAGTCATGTGTTTAAGCACTCGATTACATGCAAACTTAGACATGTACAATTCCACGAGTTCCCCTCGATGGAAACTCATCAAGAATACAAGTTTCTCTTCTTGGAGATCAGTCACTCTCTTGTATCGGTTACAATCTACCCAAAGAACGGGATTGTCCACATGCCTCTCGGTTACAACTGAAACGATGAAGCTAAAACTTTTCTTGCCATTGTAAAATCACCAATGGATGTTTCTTTTCCAACATTCCTTAATCCCAATCATCATCCCATATGATCTCCCTTCTGAATAGCTTTGAGTATTTCCTCATGAGGAATAATAGGTAAGCCACAATTGATTCTTTCCTTAGTCACCCTCCATGCGAGCCCTCTCAATGAGTTTCTTGAGACATCTTCGCTCCGTGAGAGCTTCTCTTGAAGAAGTGATACCTAGTCTAGTAGCAGCAAGATGAAAATCCTCAAACTCATTATATCAGATGAGCTTTCAAGGTTGCCTACTTGTAGCAGCAATCCAATGATTTGATCACCAAATTCCTTCTCTAATGGATCAAGGGAGAATTCAGCGTTCTCTAATTCCATCAAAGACTCCACAATCTGCAAAGTAATATATATGGATCTTTAACTTTACTTCCACTTGCCTAAAGAGAAGAAAAGAAATATAAAACCACAGTCCGAAGACATGGGAACACAAAGAACTAATTTACTACTTGAGATCCAATCGATTGTTCAACTATATCCTCAACACGCCTAAGGCTATCTTGAAGAGAAGATTTCACCTTTCAAGTTTCAATACTACTGAATCCCCTGTTATAGCCTATATGTCAAACCAGCGGGTAAGCAAGAGCCTCCCCAAGAACAACTTAAATCTTTAAGACATACCAAATAAAGTTTACTAGATTCAGTGCCTCTTCATGTTATCTAGAACCAGTTGAAGTGAACACAAAGCTTGAATCCCAAGCCTGCTTCTAAGCAGAGCAGCTTCAAGCGACCAGAAAAATAGACATGGTCTTGCAATAGATTACTAAAAAAGTATTGCATATTTCTCCATGTAGCTGAAAAAAGAATCTGTTAGCCAATGCCTTACAACAACCAAAGGTGAGACGTTTTGTACATCATCGACCGGATCAAGAATTTAATATTTTATGGGAAAGAAATTTGATTTTTAGATACCTTGGCATCACCAGGGGCATCAAAATAATCTTCAAACTCGTTCAAATCCATTGTTCCACAAAAAATCTCTATGTTGGCTTAGACTTCAATACCACAAGAAGAAAAAAGAACGAGACAAAAACAAACCAGGTCAGTGTCTTCTCAACTACAATGTGTTATCTCCCAGACAAAAACATACTAAAAGAGAAGTATATGTGAACAGAGCAAAGAAGACGAAAAAGTAACAAAAGCTGGTTGATTGTGGCATTTCAACACACACAAAGATGCAAAATTATAAGGATACCAAAACCCAAAAGTGGATAAAATAGATTCTTGAGTACAAAGAAACAAAGGGAAGAAACAACAATCTGGTTAAATCCCTAACAAATACTCAGACGTATCAAATGACATAAACTGTGTCAAGGCGAGTAGTTCCATACAATCTATTTCAAAAATCTAACAATTTATCCTTCGCAAGCGTATAGCTTTCACAATTATAAGTAATGCATCCATTTTAAGTGAAAAAGGTTAAATTTTTAGGTAAGTGATAACATAAAAAGTTAATTAGAAGAAGGATAGAGGTAAGTGAAAGAATTGGTGGTAATATCAATTTTTTTTTTTTCTTTTTTTGAGTAGACAAACAAATTGGGATACCCTTTACGATAAAATATTCCAACAAAAAAAGAGCAAAAATGGGTAAACAATCCTCAGCTCTCCTAAACCATTTTTAAAACCCTCAATTTTTGTTTGAGATTTAAAACTCTCACCTTTTTATTAAAAGTAAAATAAACAAAATGTTACATTCTATAGAAATTTAAGAAATGTCAGGATTTTTGTACACATTTTCCCCCAAAATCCATTATATGTTTCGGTTAATTATAAATATTTGGAGCACCACATCATATCCAAATTATGAATATTTTTCCTTTTCAAACCACTTTGATTAAAAATGAAGAATGAGCATATGATCTATTGAATGGTTGGGTATAATGTAGAGAAATTTCATTTGGCATGAGTGATGTATAATTTATAAAACAAACTTGATGCAAAATATATATCTACAAATGTTTTTATGAAATTGGTGTGTTAAAAAAGTGTGTGTATATGACAACTTTTTGGTTGCAATGATCTCTGTGGCTGGGAAGATCTATGAACGTATGCTTTATGTTATTGAACGTATGCTTTATGTTAAACGTATGCTTTATGTTGTTGAACGTATGCTTTATGTTAAATATTTGCCTAAAGTTTCAAAACTAGTATGTGTTTCAATGGAATTGGTTTTAGCGAGTGGGAAGGTAAATATTATATTTTTTATATATATATTTTTTTATTTTTATCTTATATAATAAATAAAATATTCTTCAAACTTATGCTATGAGAAGCCCGCATGTGACACTCTTCCTTTTTACATGTGCTTTCTTTTTAAAACTCAAAATACATCATTATATATATATTTTTATTATATTAAATTATCTTGTATGATAATGTGATCTTTTCCTTCAAACTCATGCTCATTAGATTTAAACACATTTTTCCTACATTTTTTTCTTTTTAATCACTTATAGTATAAAATAAAGATTAGACTATTTATGTTAAAATAATTCTAAGATATAACATATTCTAATATTTATCTTTTATTAACTGTGCGATATATGACATATTGTCTTATAATTTATTTCCATATTTACAAATAGTAAGTAGTGTGCTGTCAAAAAAAAAAAAAATAGTAAGTAGTGTTTATTTACTTATTCAAGAAACTTTTTTTTGGCAAAGGCGCGAATATGGTAACGTCATTTCAATAATGAGGTATTAATCAAAAAAGAAAAAATAATACGTTCACTGTCAACGAAAAAATTAGAGGAATAATTAAATATTTTCAAATTATACACCAACTTTTTTCTATTATTTATTAATAAATAAATAGAGTCAACCTTATGTGACACTATACTATACTAATATTTGGGAAGTACATCCTAAGAGTCATAACTTAGATTTTGTAAGAAATTACAATATATGCCATTAGAGATCTCTAATTATAATTATTTTATTCTATTTCACTAATATATATTAACGGGTTGTGGAAGCCCCCTTGGCCCATTGGTTGACTAAGGGTTAATTAATGCTTCTACACCAAGAGGTCTGGGGTTCGAGTCCCAGATATTGCGATTTATTAATAAATTTGCAGATTAAAGGAGGCAAGTGTGCAGGAGATCTCCAGCGAAGTACAATTATAGCCGTTCGCCAGGATTCTACGCAGAGAGAGAAGTGTCGTCAGGTCGTGGATCATTGAAGGTGTCCGTCAAGAGCATGGAGAAGGAAGTGTCGTCGTCTGTCGTGGATCTAATAAGGGTCGGAAGGAATTGTCCGTTGTAGAATCGTCTATGTAACAGTTCTCATAATTTGCAATAAATAATAAATCTAGACGTCAAAAAAAAAATATATTAACGGGTCAACGGGTCAAACGGGTTTAAAGATATCAAAAGATTTTGTTTATATAATTCATATAATTCGAAAAATATTTCGAAAAAACAACACAATTCATATAATTCGAAATGTTATTGAAAATGTTATATAGTAATCCATTATTCAACATGTTTTCGAAAATGTTATTAAAAAATATATTTATATATTGGCGAAAATTATTCTCACCCATATTAAGTTACCAAAATTGAAATTCATATTAATACTAAATCTAAGTAGTTTCTATAACGGCTTTGGATAATTTCGAGTAACTTAAATATTCAAATTCAAATTCCATATAATTTAACAAACAACAATCAAACAAGTTAACAAAATATATTTAGTTCCTAAAATATAGTATCATTAACTATTAAATCTTTATTTTGACGTAAATTCCTATCCACGTAATTTTATTGGTTAATATTATAATAAACGTTTTCTTAATTATTGATATGATTATCACACGATAACTTGGATTTAGGAAACAATTAGGGGTGTCAAAATGGGTCAAGATTCATGGGTCAACCAAAACTCAACTCAACCCATGAACCCTAATGAGTTGAAATTTTGACTCAAATGAGTTGATGGATCAAATGAGTTATTGAGTCAAATGAGTTGATGGATCAAATGAGTTGGGTTATAATGGGTCAGTGGTTTCAATGGTTTACCCATTTAACCCATCAATTTTTGTTAAATTGAATCAAACCAATTCAAATCTCTAAACCGATTTCAATTTGAGTCTAACCAAAACTTCTAAACCGATTGAATATAGTCCTTAATTTTCCCGCCAAAAATGAAAATACACAATTTTTCCATCAAAATATAAATTCGTGATTTTCCCGCCAAAAACGTAAATCCGCAATTTTCCCGCCAAAAACGTAAATCCACAATTTTCCCGCCAAAATTTTTTATAATTTTTAACCAAAAACGAAAATATGTAATTTTCCCGCCAAAAACGTAAATCCGTGATTTTCCCGCCAAAAACGTAAATCCGTGATTTTCCCGCCAAAACTTTTTATAATTTTTAGCCAAAAATGAGAATGTAAAATTTTCCCGCCAAAAACGTAAATCCGTAATTTTCCCGCCAAAAACGTAAATCCGTGATTTTCCCGCCAAATTTTTTTATAATTTTAAGCCAAAAATGAGAATGTAAAATTTTCCCGCCAAAAACGTAAATCCGTAATTTTCTCACCAAATAATGGTGACGTTGATTATTATTATTATTATTATTATTATTATTATTATTATTATTATTATTATTATTATATTTTAATTATTAATTTATTTATTACATTAATAGGTTAATGAGTCAACCCATTTAACCTTCTAACCCATCAAATTAAATGAGTTCATGGGTTGACTCAACTCATTTGGCTAAATGAGTTGAGTCAACCCATCAACTCATTTGGCTAAATGAGTTGAGTCAACCCATCAACTCATTTAACTCTAAACTCATTGGGTAATGAGTTGAGTTGAGTTGGGTTAACCATTTTGACACCCCTAGCCTTATGAGTGAAAATGAATTGTTGACAAAAAATAAAATAAAAATTAAAAAAATAAATAAAACTCGACTATGAAGTGAAGTCTAAGACAGTCATATATATATGTGTAATATGAAGGAAAGAATGCCTAGATCTCCCATATAATTCTTGTGCAGTCATCTTTCCAATTCTACTATAATTTATGTGAGAGTTAGCTAGAAAGTTTCAATGATAAAATAATAAATAAATTTAAGAATGTGATTATATAAATAAATAATGAATTTAACACATATAAAAAAAATAATTAACATATATATTTAATTTAACATAATTAACATGTATATTTTAAAAAAGCAAGTAATTATATTTTGGCAAATTAGCTTTTTGATTCAAAGAAATAGAACTTGTGAAACTCAAATCGGGTAAAACAATAGATTGGAGCATGAACTTAAACAAAATAGAAGTGATACACTTCAAGCCAGACACTAAATCAGATAAAAGCACAGTGAGACTGCTTCATAATTTGAACTATGAATCAGATTTGATGTTTCGAGCAAAAGAGTTTGTATCCCTAAGTACCACCAAAGTTTGAATTATGAAGTTGATAAAATGAAAACGATCAAAACAAAAAGTTCACCATAGGCCACAACGAAAATGAATAAATGATCTTAAACAAAACCATCCATCAATATTGACTGCCAGAAGAACAGTTTTGTAGAATTGAGCGGGTAAGAATTTTGCAGCCTAACTTTTAAAGGTCGCACTTCGGTTCCCAGATGCCGGAAAAGCTTGACGCCGTTTTCCTTGACCAAACTCTGACTGCTCCGGTCCCGACCCCTTCTTCTTCTGACCTGCTGCAACTTCTTTCTTTCCTTGTCTTCCCTTGTGTCCTTCCCCAAATTTCACCTCTTTCCTTGCAGCTTCATAATCAAACGGCTCTATGTTTAAAAAATCGGGCTGCTTTTGGGCCTTGTTGCTCTTTTTCATGGATTTAAAGCACTTCTGAAAATTTGTGGACAACTCCGAGAGAGACATTGGTTCATCTTCAGCCTCAACTTCTTTCTCATCACCATTTTCTAATAGTATAATATCGCCTGTCTCGGAACCAGATACTTTGGACTCTGAAACTCTACCAGAAGTACCAACGATCTCTGAGGCTTCTTCTGAATCATCTTTCAACTCTGTCACACCATCTTCCTTGGAAACAGAGGCTTGCATAGTAGTGGACATCTCTTCAGGCTTCCCATAAACCTTCGGAGTTGTTTCAGTAGTTGACTTTGAGTCAGGAACTTTCTCTGTAAACGAATGGAATGACAGGTTTACAGATGATCTTATCTGTTCGAGCTTCACATCTTCCTTCACCTGAAAACATTTTTATCAATCATTCTGCAACCAAAACCAAGTCTAGAGTTTTCATATTTTATATAAACTCACCTTCTCATCAGTTCGAGATTTCTTCTTCGAGGCTGCACTTCCCAGCAATGCTCCTAAACCACTGCTCGGTTTCTTATAGATCCTAACAGCCGCAGAAACCTAATAAATAACAGATGTGTCTTTGAGAGTCCAGCATGGATAATAAAGAGCACCAACCAAAAGAAATAACTAGGTGTCACCTTAGCAGAACCAAACAAGCCGGTGCCTAAACCTCTCCCTTCATTAGTATTTGCTGCAACCATATTTAGATCCCTGGTACTCTCAAGCTGCGAAGAATTTTCCTTCAAACTTGGAGAAGCTACATCTACTGCGTGCATGTCTTTCTTCTCACTAATAGGTTCAATATTCTTATCCATTACCTACAATTTAAGAAGGTCACATTTAAAATCGACATGGAGAATACAGGAAAACAGTTGAAACCAATAAGTAGCACATGCACTCTGAATTTGAGTAGTTAAGTGAGGTTTCAGAACTAAAAAATTGGATTCACAATCAGCCCTTGACATTAAATAATTCCAACTCTAGGCTCTCGTTTTCTCTGCAGGTTGAGTAGCAGAGGGTTTTAATATCCTAATAGGCGTTCAACTAGGTTATATACCTAAACCGAAAGCTTACAATTATGATTATATATACAGTAAGGGACAAGAAAACAAAACAATAAATCATTATCTTACAGTTACAGGAGACACATCTTTTAAAGATAGAGCGGCAGACTCAAATGCTGCAGAATTTTGTATTGATTGCCTGATGACACTAACCACCGAATCAACATTACGCTCGATATAAGGATGCTTTGACTTCAACATCCTACGCAATTTGCCAACACTAACAGGCATCTCCTTGGCTATTAGGATAGCAACATTAGACCACGTTAGGAATTGCCAAAACAAATCCACTCTCTGCCAGATGGTAAATTGAACTCTCAGCTATACATACCTATTTCAAGGAGAACTTTGTTTGGCAATACATAACCAGTGCTCTCATCCTCTGCACGCGCAATGAAATCCCTCCATTCGCAAAGCCCCTAAGAGAAGGTAAATTTTAAGTTAGCTTTATATAGTATAAGAAAAATCAGAGTAAGTATGCATCATTCATTACATCACACAAGAACATCGTACCGCAACAATGGCAAGTTGAGCTGAATTAAAGCCCGCCGCTTGAAGCCTAACAAAATGCCAGGATGTGAAATATAATACTGGTTTATGTAACTAAGCTTTAGGAAGCCAGCTAATGAAACAACATTTAACAGGTTTTATCAATAAACGCATACACCTTGTCTGCTGAAATAAAACAAAACTTAAGTATGTAGACTCTCTCAAGAAAAAGCAACAAACCCATATATGTGAAGATATGAATTCTCGGTCAATAGCTCTTTCTCATATAGTTGTGTGCACACATCGTAACTCCGCTTGTAGACCTGTACGAAACAGTAAGACAAAATAGTCAAAAATATTGAAGAAGAAAGAGCATATTCTTCCTGGGCCATATATCCACTGGATGTAACAATATCTAGACAAGCAAAGAAGTTAACGAGTCTACGGAGCTGAATTACCAATTTTAGACACATATGAATGCCAATAACCACAATGAGCTTCCAAAATATGTGGTAGAAAATTCTTTTTTAACTATGCTTACAAAAGATAATTCAGCCAGAGAACTATTTTGTGCATGACGGATGCCATTGAAACTCATTCTTAAAATGTATACAATAAGGCAGCTAGTATACAATAAGAACACTGAAATTCCAATAAGCGTAACATAACCCACCAATTATCTAATACTGACCAGTTCCTCCCAAAGTCGCTCTTAAAAAACATAAGAATGTTGCAAATGTGGAGAATCACTTAGGTTAGGAAGCTAATATACTAAGAATACTGAAAATCTAGCCAACCTACGTGATTGGTCACAAATCATTTTCCACAAACAATGTTATGCCATCAAGGTTTTTAAGCCACACAAATTCCGACTTGGCCAGTGTGGGAAACTAACAGAAAGATAGTAAGAACAAAGCACACACAATCAAAGACAATTATACATCTATTATGCAAATACCAACATGCAGAGGAATATTATACTTGTCAGGATATTAATGATGACTACCTCAAGCAGAGGAGAGTCAGTAAGCTCGTCATCCTTTGCCATTCTTTGCAGTTCTAGCCTGATTACATCATATATGTATAAAAGATAGTGGGTATCTTCTCTTGCATATCTGTAGCGAAATTCAAAAATGTGAGCTCAAATCAACTTAGGCCAGAACAGTAGTGAAAAGACACAGGACAGAAAAGATTGACCTTGTCATTTCCTCTGGAAGGGGTCGAATTCTCCAGTCTGCATTTTGGTATCTACAGCAATAAACAAAACAGAATTGAAAGACGAGTGAGGGACAAGGGTGAAAGAAATCCAGATAGGACTAGTACTCACTCTTTATTTGCAGTAACTCCACAAAAATGCTGCAAAAGAAACTCCAGGCTATTTCTCTCCAAATTTAGGACCCTGGAGGCCTGAAAGAATCAAAATGTTCCTACTTAGGGAAAAAAGGCTAAATATTTAAAATTTCTTTCATGTATGTGCTTCTTGTGTCTTACAACACATATCAGAAGTTACTAAAATTCAGGAGATTGTTGAAATTATCTGCTAAAAGAACAAGTAAAAACCCAGCGTTGTGCAAATTGTTGCCAGTTATCACTTTAATGGTATACTTAACTAAAACATTCTCAAAATATCTTAGTTCAGTGTACTTTGTAACGGAGAAAACTTCTACTTTTTCATTTCCAGGCATAGAGGTAAAGAGAGAAAGAAAGCGGGATACTAAATTCAAAAGTAATATGTTGCCATCATTCTTCTTCCATAAAGCAAATGGTGTATGTTATGGAAACTGGATCTCCTAAGTTTTACAGGCAATATTATGGGAAAAAATAGGATATCATCACTGAAACAAAATCAAACCTGTCCTGTGTCAAAGAGATTGCAGACATATATGCCGAAGTCCCGTTGAAGCCAGATAATATCTCGATCTGCTCCATGCATTATCTAATTAAATAAACAGATTTCAGAGTACAGAACATATATTTCAGACCTTTTGTAAAGGAAATTAAAGTATCCCAGGAAAAACCTTTTTCTTTTTAGGGTCTTTGAATATCTCCCTTAGATAAGGACCAATGTGAATACGAAGCTTAAATGTATCAACTATATAATCCTCTGTTCTGGTGGAAATTTGCATCAAGCATGTCAATCCTTGAAAAGATCGATACTGATTATGCTCCAGATCAACCTAAGCAGAGCAAAACGAGAAAACTTAGGGATAGAATTTTAGGTAACGCAACAACAGAAACTTATATTGGTAGTTCAGTACTATTCTCAAGAAACTCTGTAAACGTGTATGACCAAGTAACAATCCATTACATAATAATGATAGAATCATCACATTTCTTACGACTTCTACCAAGAGATATTATGATCAAACAATTCACTGCAGTCTGCATATTGGACTACTAAGGACAATCAGAAAAGAAATTTACCGCAAACTCTTCAACACCACGCAGTTTAGCAACTA